AAAAAAAAAACAGAAGGAGAGGACACAGACATAACAGAGGACATGTGGAAGCAGAGGCAAAGATTGTGTTTGTCTATTACAAGATTGTGATTGATAGTAAGATTATTATATGCTATGTTGACCTTCCTCTCCCTAGTCTCCAGCAGTGGGCTTCTAAAGTCCTTGTCCATTCCTGAGCAATAAGGACTGGAGGAGAGTATTTTTCTAATATTTGGTCTTTGACCCTGGCTCCAGAAACAGAGTTCCCAATCTTGGGGAATTTTCTACATCACAAAAGTATCTTTTGTTGTAGTGAAATATTCGTGGTAGATCCTTGGATAGCAGCTCTACATCATAAAAGTATCTTTTGTCGTAGTGAAATATTCGTGGTGAATCCTTGGATAGCAGCTGTGGACTTCTACAGCCTCATATGCTGAGGAGCTGCCACACCCCAGCTCCACAGGGGCAGAAACCCTGCCATCACACCCTCAAGACCACATTCTGTGTAATCTTTTCATCTGGCTGTTAGTCTAGGTTCTATATCATATTCCTATTGAGATAATAAACTAAGAAATATAAAAATGTAAAGAAAATGGAGGAAAAGAAAGAAAAAAGAAAGAGGTAGAAAGAAAAGAAGGAAGAAAGAAAGAAAGAAAAAAGAAAGAAAGAAAGAGAAGAAAAGAAAAGAAAAAGGAGACACTTTTCCTCCTGGTACTTACTAACTCATAGTTCCTTAGTGAGAGGTGGGGCTCATATATATCTTAAGCATATTCAGAGCTTATTTTAGAATGCTTTGCATCCTAACCCCATACTGACAAATGCCATTGCCAACCATGCCAAAAGTCAGGATGACATTCATGACTTCTACATTTTCCTAAAACTATTTAATCATTAAATGGCTTTAATGTACAAATGATGTTTTAATCATATAGCATAGATTAACTCAGTACTGTTGCAGGCAACAAACAGAAACAAAACAAAAACTAACCAAACTAAGGTTGATTTCTTTTCCTTTCTTAAAATATAGACCACAGAATTAATTATAATTTAAAATAAAAGCTTTTTAAGTCCTGGAGTGATATGACAAGCAGAAAATTCCACATCTGACTTCACATGTAAAACATTTTTATACATAAAATATTTAATTTTTTGCATAAATTTATCTTCAGTGTGAGTACCTAAAGTATAATAGGGGAACACCCCCCCAAAAAAAAAATCACACCTATTGCTAAGGTTGTTGGTTGCTCTCCACAAACTGATGATAAGGCCCTATTGCTAAAGACAAAATTTATGACAGTGAACACAAAGAAGCAGAGTTGGTTTCTAACTAGAAATCTCACTCCTACTCACTGACTAGAGTTTATGGTACATGAAAATACTTTGCACTTTGTAATCATCAATATTGCCCAGTTACAAACCATAAGACACACAACAGAGACCTATAGTAGGAAATTTCCAATACCGAGTCAGGTAGAAATATAAGGGTATTTAATAGGAAAAAGCCTTACTTACAGAGCGAACCAGCCAGCCGGTGGTAGTCTGTACAGCAAGAAGCAAAGAGAAACCAAAACCAAAAACGCAGACCCCCTACTCACTCTGACCACGCCCTCACAAGTCTGCCCAGGTACTCCTGTAGCCAGCCCCTAAGAAGGCGTGGCTACAGCTTCCCCTACAGAGACCTGCCTACAAGACATACTGGTACAACAATGACATAAATGTTATAGGAATAACCAACAACTTTCTGATTGGATTTAAGGTACACTCAATGAAGTGGAACTTATACCCTACACTGCAAAAGTAGACAAGAACCTGAGACTAGATAGGTCATGAGCCCAGGGAAAAACCCAATACCATTATTCTGGTAAGTAAACATAGCAATAAAATGATTCCTAATGACATACTAACTATACCCATAGATTACTGACTTGCTCAGCCCTCATCAGAGAAGTTTCTGCTTGCAGTAAATGTGAACTAACAGACACTGGACAATGTGCAAAGCATGAAAGACTGGGGAGCACTAAATCCTAAATGGGATGTCTTCATCAAAGCCCTCCTGTCAAGCCTCAGGAGTTATACAGAAGAGCAGGCAGAAAGATAGTAAGAGCTGGAGGTGATAAATTGAAACACTGATAGTTGTTTTTGAAGCTCTACTTCTTTGGAGAAAACATTTTGAGAAATCACCCTAAGACAGATAAATTATATTGGTCTAATTTAAGCTGTAGTATGTCAATTTTAGAAAAAGCTGAGAGTTATCATTTCTGAAGCTATGAAAAAAGTTTACTTCCTTTTATAATTCAGATAACTAATAGTAAATCAGTAACAATAAATGTATTATCCTTTTAATGTAAGTTCATAAATTCCAATTCATTTTGCATTTCATTGCTAGATTCATTCAATTCATTGTTTTCCTTGAGTAGCCTGCTTAAAACCATTTCATTGAGTCTCAATGCTTACAGCAAAGAATCTTTCAGTTACCTCAATTAGTATCACCATTTGAAAAAACATCTAAGCACTTTTCTAAGCAGGCTCAAACAGATGATCCTCCTTGATCATCTCTCAGATTTACCAGAACAACGTATCTCACAATACATGATTAGAGAAGACACGATATACAATACAGCTAGAAAAAGATGAAATTCAACAAGTGAAAATAGAGCATTTACCTACTGTACTGCAAAAGCAAAGGACAAACCAGATAAAGAGAAGAGAACAAAGGAACATTTACTTGGATAATTTCTCCAAATTTTGTCCTATTGATTCATAGTGATGGACACATAAACCTGAACAATTTATGAAAGCACTTGTGTATTATTAAATGAGTAAAACTCAGAGACTCTTATCATAAGAGTAAACTTGGGGTCCTGAAATCTAGACAGATCAACAGGGAGAAAGAGAATGAATGAATTGCATCAGAACAAATACTCTCTTTGAATATTTGCATTTTACTCCCCTTGTCTTTACTATCTGGCTTTTATTTAAATTTAGTGCTCATCTGCAGCAACACTACTAACAGAAGTGTGAGGTACTCAAGCCCTCCATTTAGATTATATATATTTTTAACCAATTTCGGAAGGTGAAATGTGGTCAGTTATTATTATTAAACTTATTTTGCAAATATCCATCCATAAGTTTTTCAATTCAGTTAATGGTATCATTTTCTAGTTAAATGCAGTTTATAGTTGGCCAAATATTTATTGGGAGTTAAGGACAAAAATTAGTATATTTTACTTTGCTTTAATAAATATTCAATGGGCTCACTCATTTGTTTTCTCAGCAAATGTTTATCAAAGCCCTCACACATGAATGGCTTTGGTCTATCACTCACTGAAAACACACATCAGTCTCTGCCCTGGTTGTGCTAAACATCTGAATAAAAAAATGATATGAACAAAGCATATTTAAGAAGGAAATGGAAGATGGTAAACAGCCAGGAAAAGCCAAAGCTTAAGTATTTGAAAAAAAATCAGAGGCTGAGTTATGAAATTATCTGGAAGAACCTTTCAAGAAAAGGAGACAGCAAGTCATAAGGCTTTTGTGATAGAAGCATGCTTACTGAGTTTGATGATGAAGTGAGGTAATGAGTGTGGTCAGAAGACACTGACTACAAGTAAAAATTGTAGATAGTTAGGAAGCAGGGCTACATTGGGCATGTCTCCATAGACAACTAAAGACACTGACATTTGATAAGAATTCCCTGAACAGCTTAAAAAGAAGGGTAGCATGAGCCAATGTTAGGAGATCAATTCAGCTACTGTATAAAAACAGGGAGGCTAAGAATAGAAGTAAAGGACTATCAAGAGAATAAATGACACAATGGTCTAAGCAAGGGATACTAGTTACTTAAACTAATTAGGTACATCTTAAAGGCAGAGAAAGAAGCAGTCAAAAAACTATAGTGCCATTAATAAGCTAGAGAAGAGCAGGAACAGCATGACTTCACAGGGAAAACACTATGAGTTTTATGTAAGATTTTTGTGAGGTGTTTAAAATGGAAATGTACAAATGAGTGTGTGCATGTGTTTATATGGAATTTTAGAATGTAAACATGAGAACATCAACATAGACTGACCAGGAATCACCTAGTGAAAATATAGAAGACAGGCCTAAAGGACAAGTATATGTTACTCTGATGACATAAATGACACTTGTAAAACTAAGAAAATATGTAACTGTATGGAGTGATTCAGATGCTTACTGAATTGCACAAACAGATCCTAGTCTCCAACAGAAGAGACAAGAAAGAGGAATCAAATTTGGTGAGCGCTAAGGCTCACAGTTATTTAACATTAATGTATAGTCTATAGAGCCTTCTTATCCTTTATTTTTCAACCAAAATAAAGTGGGGTTGGTGGAATGCCTCAACAGGTAAAGGCACCTGCTACTAAGCCTGATGACTAAAGTTCAATACCTGGGATCTACATGGAAGAAGGAAGAATGGATTCCTGTGAGTTGTCCTGATTTTTACCAACAAATAAAGGTGTGCACATGCACGGATGCATGCATGCACACACACTCATATACACGCCGCAACTAATTGTACATAAACAATAGGGAAAAGTAAAAGTAATTAATATATTTCATCACAGAACTGCAAATTATTAATTTCATTTCTCTATCAATCAACATGTCATCCTTAAATATTATAAAGCAGAGAGTTTTAATATTGTTTAGGTAAGACAATGCAATGACCTCTGTGTGTAGTGGAAAGAATCATGTCTCTATCACCGAGACGCTGACTAGAAGTGGTAACAATATCAATTTGACATTTTAAGGAATTTATTTCTTAATTAGCATACTGGTCCGATATTCTATTTCTCTTATCCTAAATTTTCATGTTAATTTATAATCTGGGTGAAATTATTTCCATTAGGGTAGTAGCACACACACACAAAAAAAAAAAATCAAGAAAAACTGTAAAATTTAGGGAAGTTCATGTCAAAAGCAAATGCTCTACTATATAAACTTACTTCCTTTGAACTATATTTCTTTTTAAACATCATTAAAATTACAAAAAAATGATTATACAAACATACTTCATAAATTAGCCTGTACATATATTTGTTTTTAGGTTGATTCCCATTCAAGTCAATAATATATTTTAACCTCTGAGCCATTTCTCCAGCCCCAGCAGTAATATATTTTAAATACTGCACTTACTCATGAGTCACAAGGTACCTGAAATATAACTTGTTGGGTACCAAATAAATCTGACACTTTCTTATGTAAACTGTTTCATAATAATTTTAATTTGGAGTGTAAATGTTTAAGATTTCTGACTGAATTTTGGAAGAACTAAGGCAGGAAGTATTAACGTACCTGTTTTATGGCAGTTACTGTTATCACAAAGAATAATGGAAGTCCACTGGTAATTGGACTGGTAGGTGTATCAATCATAAGCTAGATTTAAAGAAAGAATGAAGAATATTTCATATTTATATTACATGTGTTACATTAATACCTACATATCATACTATTGTACAGTGTATACAGTTTAGTTTACAACTTTGCTTTCTTGACTACTTCAAAGGCTGCTAAGAGTCTTTCAATTGCATACTCTCATATACTGCTACACTAACTCAGCTACTCTGCTTTATTGTTGTTTTGTTTTCTGAGACAGGATTTTGCTACATACACCCCTGCAAAACTGAACTCCTCTTGATCCCTTGTCTTTGCAGCTCAAGTGCTGGGATTATAAGCATGTACCACCATGCCTATGAGTAGAGCCACAATGGATCTTACCTCATTTCACATTCTTTGCACATCCTACTATATGCTGAAAAGTCTGCCTGCAATTTTAACCCAGGATTTAGGATAAACTGAACCCCAGAGAAAGAGAACTAGGAATGGAACATGGAAAATGATTTTTCTTACAAGTGATTGTGTTATACCCAAAAGAATCAGAGGAAGAGAGCTAGGAAAACGGTGCTGCAATTATGTTATAAGTCATAATGAAGTTTAAGTTTCTACAAGTTGCTGAAGAAGTACTTGCAGTAATTACATAGGTTATTTAGAACACAAATCTTATGGTTTATTAATTTCCCTTGACTCTGGATGGGCCAATTAAATTTGCTCTATTCTATATACACGTTGATTCTAGCAATTTGACAATCTGCATACATGGCATGTGAATATAGTTAGCATAGTTTTATTTTCCAAGAAAACCACTAGATGCCCTAGTGATACAAAATTAGAAGTTCCTTCTCCATTCATTATGAAAAGCACTTCAAACTAAATGTTTCCTAAAGCTTTAAAATGATTACTTGAGTAATTTTAACTTTTCTTTTGAAATCCTAGGTTCTAACAAATTTTTAATACTAAAGAAAATTCTAAGTTTTTATCAGAAAATAGTAACTGTAAGGAAATGATAATCACTATATTTACAAATTGACTTACACTTGAGCTTCAATTTACATTTTGATATACATATATATACATATATATAACATATATATATATATAGCAAAAACATTTAGATTAAGAAGCTACAGAACAGTTTATGATAAACTTGCAATTAAACCCAGAAAAGTACTCTTGTGAATACTTAAAAAAATAAGAATTGTTCAAATATGGTAGTAAACATCTATCATTGCAGAAGGGTTGACACAGATAGTGAGTTCATAGTCAGTCTAGGCTACATAGTAAGACTCTAAAGGTACATAGTAAGCATTACAGCTGGGATAGAATCTGGGCACTTGGGAGCTAAGGAATACCACAAAGTCATACTGCCTAACATACCTTACACAAGAGATTTACTGGAAGGGAAAAAATAGAAGGGTAGATGCCTATGTTTGGGTGAGAAACAGTGGAGTACTGAAGAAAATACAGGGTTTATATACAGTTTCTTGGAGAGTGGCATTTCATGTCCAGAGATTGGGCTTTTATTTTTTTTTTTTTTTTTAAACACTGTAGAATGGGGGCAGGGTCCAGCAGTTAAGGGCAGTTAAGAATGAATGTCACCTGGCCTGGCCACCAGTATGGCTTGTAGCCCTTTCATTCCCTTCAGAGCTGTAGCTATTGCTTGGCGTCAACTGCCAAGGATACCTTTCTATCAGAGCTGTAATACTTACACACACACACACACACACACACACACACACACACACACAGGTATGATGATGATTCCATGGGCAGACACATGCCAATGATGCATGGTATATCAATAGCCAAAACATTTATAGTGAGGCAGGAATCTGAAAATTACAATAATATTCCTGTCTTAGATTACAGTTATCAGTACTATGGCACACTAGTAAAGAAACAAAATGAAACTGATCTTAAAATTTATAGTCTATTCTTTAGAAATCTAGATTTGATTTAGATAATTTATTAACGAATACAATGGGGAAACTGCATAGTCAAACAACTAAGAATACATTGTAGCTTTTCCCTATTTTAAAATATATGCTTAGACAGCAAGTTTAAAATAATCCACTGAGTGATAAAACTTACCTGAACCAAAAATATAATAAGAAAATAAAAGTTTGCCACTCTTCTGAATTGTTCAAATAAATTTTTTGGGACAAAATTCCACACAGTATACTAGGGAAAAAAGAAAAGAGAAATCAATAAAAGAATATTTTAAAACAATATATACTACATAGATCCAAATATAAGAAAAGTAAAGTGGATTTACTAATCTCTTAGTCAAATTAATATAACTTGATGCTATAGAAACTCTCTCGTTTCCAGAATTTAAGACTTTTATGCTACTTTCTTTTCCCTCCTTTATTTATTGGTGACTTTATTATACTTTTTAAAATGAGTTATAGAAACCATTAATTTTGCAATCTAGTTGTTGATATGTTTTAGAAGCTAGTGAAAACGTCTAAACACTTAAACAGTGTATTTTCGATTTGTAACATAAAACTAAACAAAGACAAGAAAGCATTGATAGAAATGCTAACAAGATAAAAAACATTTTATTTTACTTAACTCAGTGTCAGAGCCAAATGAAATGACCTAGTCAATTATTCTCTTTTTTACAAGAAATATAGAAAAAATGGCCTAGAATGTTAAAGAAATAATTAGATAAGCAATCATTGGGGCAAACACCAAAACAATTTATGGAGGATGCAAAATTGCTACAGTGTCCTAAAGGCAAGATAGCTGAGTATAATGATAAAAAGCATAGGTGGATGGGAGCTAAAATTCTGTGGCTCAAAGTTGTAACATTCATTGAATAACCTTAGATTTAATCTCTGTTCTACAGATCCTCCTGTGTCTGCCTCCCCAGCATTGGAAATACAGGTGCAACTGAGCTCTATTTTTGTGTGAGTGCTACAGATCCAAACTCAGGGTCGTCATGCTTTTGGCAAGTCCTTTATTGACTGAGCCACATTCCCAGCCTCTTCTGGTTGATCCTAACTTGAATAAAAGGCAACTGTTCTACAAGGGGCAGAATGTCTCCATAGGAATTTTTTGGTCCCTTATTAAATGTACAAACCTTTCTGAGAATTAAGTAGGCAATGCCCTCCCTATGCTTATAAACGTCTATGCAGATTATGATACCGACAATATTTTTCCGTTTATAATTTTAAACCAAACAATTATATATTTGGCAGTAAGGTAAATGGTTTCAAGAATGCTTTAAAGGAAATGAAAAAATGTTTCCATAGTTAATAGTGTGTATATTGCTTTTACAGAGGACTTAATTCTCAGAACCTAAGTCAGGTGGTTCACAACTGCCTTAGGTGAGCCAGCTCTAAGAAGATCTTAAGCCTCTTGCCTCTACAGGAATCTTCGCTCAAAAAAACAAACAAACAAACAAAAAAAACAAAAAACAAACAAACAAAAAAACCAAGCATACAAAAAAGAGATTTATCATTACACATTTCCAAAATGTCAGATACATTAGGATATTTAAAAGTAAAGCAAAGAGATTAAGAGCTAAGTATCAACAGTTGTAGTCAAAGATGAAATACATAAATGAATACATAAAACAAAAAGAAAAAGCAGCAAAGGTCCTTGTGGTTTTTTTGGAAATGTCTCAGAGAATAATACAGGCCTCAAAAAGAGAATAACATCATGCCAGCCTCACTGAAACTGGAGAGAATAGTGTCAGCAAATGTCTATACTCTTAACTGACATGAAGTCAACATCTTTAAAAGAGCAAATCTAAATCCTCCGCCGACTTTTATATGCTAAAAGTCAGGAGGGAAACAAGCAATCCAGCCAAGGTTCCATGGGAAAAGAGTTCATTGTGAGCTAGAAGACAGCCAGTAATACAGTGATGAAGTTCCGGAAACAACAGACACACAATCTTAGGAAAGCAATATAAGGAAACTCACTTATGCTAAAAGGTTTTAAAGAAAGTACTTGTATAAACCCCTACACTTCTGAAACTCTGGTCAAAAACATTAAACCTAAACTGCTATATAAGAAAACAGCCATATAGACAGAAACTTAACAAAGAAAAAAAGGAACTAATAGAAGTTATGGCCCAATTGGGATTAACAGACATCTATAGAACATTCCACCCAAACACAAAAGAATATATCTTCTTCTCAGCGCCACATGGAACCTTCTCTAAAATCGACCACATACTTGGCAATATAGAAAACCTCAACAGGTACAAAAAAAATGAAAATAATCCCCTGTATCTTATCAGACCACGATGCTTTAAAGTTAAATTCAACCACAATACAAATTGCAGAAAACCTACAAACTCATGGAAATTAAGTAACACCCAATTGCACAATACCTGGCTGGTGAAAGAAATTAAAGATTTCCTAGAATTCAATGAGAATGCAGACACAACATACCCAAACTTATGGGACACTTTGAAAGCAGTGTTAAGAGGAAAGATCATAGTACTAAGTGCCCACATGACGAAACAGGAGAATAAACAGGAGAAACTAGAGAATTAACAGCACAACTGAAAGCTCTAGAATACAAGAGGCCAGATAAGCAAACCCCGGAGGAATAGATGCCAGGAAATAATCAAATTGAGGGCTGAAATCAATAAGTGGAAACTAGGAGAACAATACAAATAATCAATGAAACAAAGAGCTGGTTCTTTGAGAAGATAAACAAGATAGACAAACCTTTATCCAAACTTACCAAATGGCAGAGAATGAACATGCAAATTAACAAAATCAGAAATGAAAAGGGGGACATAACAACAGACACAGATGAAATCCAGAGAATCATAAGGTCATACTTCGAAAACATGTATTCCTCAAAGTTCGAAAATCTAAAGGAAATGGAGAATTTTCTGGACAGATTTCACTTACCAAAATTAAATCAAGAACAGATAAGCAACTTAAATCGACCTATAACCCCTAATGAAATAGAAGCAGTCATCAGAAGTCTCCCAACCAAAAAAAGCCCAGGACCACATGGCTTCAGTGCAGAATTGTACCAGAAATTCGAGGAACAGCTAATACCAATTTTCCTCAAAGTATTCCACAATAGAAGCAGAAGGGTCATTGCCAAACTCTTTTTATGAGGCTTCAATAACACTGATACCCAAGCCATACAAAGACACAACTAAGAAAAAGAACTACAGACCAATATCCTTCATGAACACTGATGCAAAAATAATAAAATACTGGCAAATCAAATCCAAGAACATATCAAAGAAATCATCCACCATGATCAAGTAGGCTTCATCCCAGGGATGCAAGGATGGTTCAACATACGAAAATCCATCAATGTAATCCACCATATAAACAGACTGAGGGAAAAAAAACCACATGATCATCTCACTAGATGCCAAAAAAGCCTTTGACAAATTCCAACACCCCTTCATGATAAAGGTCTTGGAGAAATCAGGGATAACAGGAACATACCTCAACATAATAAAAGCAATCTACAGCAAGCCGACAGCCAACATCAAATTAAATGGAGAAAAACTCAATGCAATTCCTCTAAAATCAGGAACAAGACAAGGCTGTCCACTCTCTCCTTACCTCTTTAATATTGTCCTTGAAGTTCTAGCTAGAGCAATAAGACAAAAGGAGATCAAGGGAAAAGAAATCAGAAAGGAAGAAGTCAAACTCTCACTATTTGCAGATGATATGATAGTCTACGTAAGTGACCCGAAAAACTCTACCAGGGAACTCCTACAGCTGATAAACACCTTCAACAAAGTGGCAGGATACAAGATTAACTCAAAAAAATCTGTAGCCCTACTATATACAGATGACACATTGGTAGAGAAAGAAATCAGAGAAACATCACACTTTACAATTGCCACAAACAACATAAAATATCTTGGGGTAGCACTAACCAAAAAAGTGAAAGACCTGTACCATAAGAATTTTGAGTCTCTAAAGAAAGAAATTAAAGAAGATACTAGAAAATGGAAGGATCTCCCATGTTCTTGGATAGGTAGGATCAACATAGTAAAAATGGCAATCTTGCCAAAAGCAATCTACAGATTCAATGCAATCCCCATCAAAAATCCCAGCACAATTTTTCACAGACCTTGATAGAACAATTCTCAACTTTATATGGAGAAACAAAAGACCCAGGATAGCCAAAACAACCCTGCACAATAAAGGAACTTCTGGTGGCATCACCATCCCTGACTTCAAGCTCTATTACAGAGCTATAGTCCTAAAAGCATTTACTTAATCACAACATATTTTAGGACTATCAGTTTCCAACACCAACTAAAATGTTTTATGTGGACCTTTGAAATCCTAGCAGATGAGAATTTTAAACATTAGAATTTAACAGGATATGATCTGAAAGCCTCTTCCATGAAGACTAACTTCCATAGTATTGGAAAGTGCTATACAAGCTGCCAACAGAGGGAAGCAACCAGTAGTCCCATCCAGCTGTGATGCCTATTAACCACAAAATGACTAGCATGGTAAAATATTCCTAAAACTGTATCTTTATCAGTGCTAAATCCATATCTATATAAGTGGCAATCATATCTTGGCAGTAACCAACATCTTTCTACAAGGCCCACTCAACAGGAGGGAAATCTTGTCTGGTACTGGAAACCTAGCCAGCTAGCTATCCACGGCTAGAGAGATCATGGAACTTAGCAGAAAATTTAATACCATCACTTTCCTAAACCAGTATTAATTCCTAACTGTATCCTAAATTCTTTTCTTTATATCTATAAATAATTGTAGCTCTCACCCACCATCAAGGAAGTGTCTCTTTGTAACAAACAGAGATCACTGCAGAAAGCCACAGCTAGTCAAAATGCAGAGACATAACTGTGGGGTATCTATAACACAGTTGTAAACCTAAGACTCAGGAAATAGCATAGAAGAGGGGGCAGAAAGGTTGTAAGAGCCAAAGAACCAGGATATCAGCTGTGAGATTGTGACAGGGAAGCATGACTCAGGATACCTCAATAGTATGAATGCCTAAACAAGATCAGAACAAGGAAAAACAACAACAAACATACAAGGAGGAAATCTCAAAGGCTCAATGGCCTTACACCTAGACAAATGCAGGTAACTAAGGAAAGCTAAGAGCAGTAATATCAGTCTTCCCCCAAGGGTCAGCCCTAAAATCATAAATATATAAGCAACATTAAATGGACTCAACAGTTGTGCTTATACATGTAAAAGTAACAAAGAAAAATAGGTTGTAAATCTAACAGGAAGTAAAGATTGGGAGTGGAACATGAGAGGAGTTGGGGGAGAGGAATGGAAAGGGGGAAATGACTAAAATTCTATTTTAAACACAAAAATTAGACTTTAAAAAATTAGACTATTTTAAAAGCTATAAAACATCCAAAATATAGATGAGAACTGGGGCACTGCACAACTGATCTACTAGCATTGTAGTCAGAAGTTTCTGTCCCACCTGATTCCACAGCCATTTAGCCCCAAATAAACGGATAGAGACTTTCATAATTATAAACTGATCATCATATACACAGAAATAATGTGATGGCAGAAAGAAAAGGAGAGGGAAAAAGGACTGTTGAACTAAGGTGACAGTTTAGGAAAGATGAAATCAGTATTCAAGGAAAAATATTAGTGTTGCAGAATATTATTTTGAGATGTGTTACACTTGTTTATGTTGTAGAACACATGTTTAATGATGCAAAGATGTGTTGCATTCTCTTATGTTGCATTTGTTTAACTTTGTGAAGCTGTGTTACTGTGCCTGTATAAAACACCTGATAGTCTGTCTAATAAAGGGTTGAATGGCCAATAGCAGTAGCGAGGAAGGAGAAATGACAGGTGGGGCTAGCAGGCAGAGAGAATAAATAGGAGAAATCTGGGAGAGGGAAAATCAAGGAACAAGAAAAAGAGAAGAGGAAAAATACAGGGGCCAGCCACCCAGATACACAGCCAGTCATGGAGTAAGAGTGAAAGTAAGATTACGGAAGTAACAGAAAGATAAAGGCACAGAGGCAAAAGGTAAAGGGGATACTTTAAGAAAAGCTGTCTAGAAACCAGCGAAGCTAAAGACAGGCATTTATTCATAAGTCAGAATAAGGCTCTGGGTGTATTTATTTGGGAGCTGGGTGGCAGGCCCCCAAAGAATAAAGAGTCCAAAGACTATAAAAACAACCAACAACACATTAGTGCCTTTGGAAGGTAAGGAAAGAGCATACAAAGGTATTTCTTGTAAAACCCTACAAACAAAAGTCAGGGTCTAAGTAAGAACTTTACATGAAGTCTCTCTGATTAATATCCTCAATAAGTATATGGTTTAATAGTGAGTCAATAATACATTTGGCTCTGACATTTCAATTAAAATACATTTTAAATGTTCAGGTCTTCAGTTACACCAGCCCTATTTCCAACAGTCCTATGTGCTCTCTTACTGAATGAACACTGCAAACACATTTCTATCACAAAAGAAAAAATAATTTGGCAGCAATGCTCTATAATCCTCTGCTTTAATAAACAAGACCTCTTCAAAAAGCAAAGGAAAAAACAAGTAAGAATGAAGACTTACCTACATTAAAAGATTTGTATTTTAAAAAAATATTTATATTTTAAAAAATGAAACAAGTAAGCTTTAAAGTCACATGGAACAATTTGGGGAAAATTATTCAATTTCCAAGCACTAGAATCAAAGACTTGTGATAATATAAATACGGTACTTTGTAAATAAATAGTTATTCACATAGGCTGTTGCAAAGAGTAAATGACATAATATGAGGAGAAACAGGTTCAGTAGATGGCCATCTAGTACAGTTGCAGCTGAAGACAATGGTCAACTGGTACCAACCAGCAGCCTCTTTTCTTTCACACACCATGTTGAGTGAGATAAATCTATCAACCTTCAGTTTCATGGCTTTTTAAAAGTATAAATATACATTGCACACATTCAGTAAATCATTTTTAAAACGTTACATATCTACCATTTTATTTTAGTTATTTGAGACAGAGTATCCCAAGCAGACTTCAATCTTGCTACGCAGCTAAAGATGACCTTGAATTTAAGAGTGCTGAAATTACAGGCATACATCATAATATTCAGTTTATGTGGTATTGGGGATTGAACTCAGGGCTTTGTACATGATATGTAATCATTCTACCAAATGAGCTACAAATATATCCCCCACTCCACATCTATAGTGTAATAATAAAATTGTTTATGCTTACCTTGGATGAAATGATCCGATTATCTATAAATTTCTGAGGTGTATATAGGCCATTCTGAGGGAATCTGTTGGCTATGTAAATAGTTCTTGTGTCACTTTGATGCGGTGGGTCAAAACCCTAAGACCAAACAACAGAAAAAAATACTAGTCAACAGACTAGCTGGTATAATATTTTACCATTGGTTTTAAATAACTGATCAGATTATACATATTATTGGCCTTAAACTACACATAGGCTGAATCCATTTAATTAGAACAGTTAAGCCACCAATGCTTTTCTTCAAAGGTGAGTAGGTATATTACCTTCATAAATAAATTAAGTCACACCTTCAACAATGAAAAATAGTTCACACTCCCAAATATGCTAGAAGGAAAAAAATCATATGAGAGCTACAGATGCTTGCATTACTGCATCCTTTGCTTTTCATTCCTGTGAATACCTTGCTTTCCCTGTGATGGATTCTTACTGAGAGAAATAGATATATGTCTAACTAATGTGACTACCATGCCTGATAGAAGTTTTATGCATATTTTTAACCTCTTCTATATCCAGTTCAACTTAGTTTCAAACAGTTTTACTTTCAAAAGACTAAGATTCATGTGATGGATTTCTTTGAACCATTAATAGGTACAACTTCCTGAAATATAGATAGAAATATGTTTATAATATTCCTGGAGGGAAATATACTCTGCTTCAAATTCAGAAGACCATCTGTGTTGGTTAGTGTTTTGTTGACTTGGCACAAGCTAGAGATAACTGGAAGGACAGAAACTCAACTAAGAAAATGCCTCTCTCGGATTGACCTGTAGGTAAATCATTTTCTTGATAAATGATTGATGAGCCTGGGTGAGAAAGACATGGAGAGCAAGCCACAGGGAGTAAACCAGTAAGCATTGTTCCGCCATGGCTTCTGACTCAGTTCCTGCCTCCAGCTTCCTGCCACGACTTCCCTTCATGAATGATGGACTATACACTGTAAGATGAAATAAACCCTTTCCAAGTTGCTTTTGGTAATGGTGTTTATCACAGTAGTAGAAAGCAAATCAGGATACCATCTTTCCAGACACAGTAGTAAAAATAATCTCAGCATAGTGTCTTAGTTACTTTTCTATAGTTGTGATAAGACAGTGTGACCAAGGAAAGCAATGTATAAAATAAAGTATTTAATTTGGAGCTTGCAGGTTTAGAGAGTTAAACCCATGATGGCAGAGCAAAAACATGGTGGCAGGAAAAGCTGAGAGCTTGTTCTGTAATTGGAGGCAGAAAGAGAGAGAAAGCTAACTGGGAATGAAGTGGGTCTTTTACAGTTCAAAGTTGGGCCCCCAGTAACACACCTCCTCCTCCTAGGCCACCTACAAACAGTTCCACCAAATGGGAAACAAGACATTAATTAACATTGGCAAGTAACTAGTGCATCAGCTCCCTTTAAGTCTGCATTAAAGAACTTAAAGTTTGGGTGGGTAGGAAGGGGAAGATGTTCCAGAACAATGGTTCTCAACTTGGGGGCCACAATCCCTTTGGGGTTTAACAACCATTTTACAGGAGTCACCTAAGACCATTGGAAAACACAGATATTTACATTACTATTCATAACAGTAGCAGAAATGTAGTTATGAAGTAGCAGGGAAAGTAATTTTATGGTTCGAGTAATCACAACATGAGGAACTATAGTAAAGGGTTGTAGCATTAGGAAGTGGTTCCAGGACATCCAGGGCTACACGGAGAAACCCTGTCTTGAAAACGAACAAACAAAAAAAGGACACAAGCATACTCAAATAACTATAGACATAGGTAGAAAAACAAAACCATACAGTTTATAGATATAAATTTTTAAAAAGTTATTTGAAATTTACTTTTTACTTTGTGTTTTCCCCTGAGGGAGGGTGTCAGCATGCCATGGTATGCATGTGGAGGTCAGTGAACAATTTTGACAACTAGTTCTCACCTTCTACCACAAAGGTTAGGTATCAGGGATAGAACTCAAGACTGTCAGGGTTGGTGGCAGATGCCTACCTGCTGAGCCATCTTGCAGGCCCAGTTGTTAAGTCTTTGAAGGAAAGAATATAAGTGTAAGACACTCAGGACTGGAAAGATAACTTAATGGGTAAAAGTGTTAGCCATCCAAGCCTAACCACTCAGTTTCGTCCTAGGAATCTACATAATGAAGCCAAATGCAGTGGTGTACATCTTTAAGACCAGTATACTTAAAGCTAGTCTGAAGTGCAGCCACAGAAGCAACAAGGTGGGAAGTGAGAACTAACTCCTAAGAACTGCCCTCTGATCTCTACACACATCCTTACACTCACCTCTCTCTCACACATAAAATTAAAGTAGTAAGAAAATAAATTTTAATGCAAAGTCAATCAAAATCCTTGATCCCCCTGCCCGCCAGAGAATTTTTTAAAAATGCATATATGTCATAAATGGAAGAATAAGGGTCCAATGTAAATCTGAAAAAAAGAAATCAAAATGTGTGGAAGGATGATGGATTACTGGTACACCAATAGATGAGTGAACTAGGAAAACAAAAAGAACACATAGAGGAAATTAAGAATGTCATTCATAACAGAAAAGGCAAACACATGTTAGACATCAAAGATAACTTATCTAATAAACTGAGAGAGGAAACAATTAACTTTCCAATGGGAAAACACAAATTACCGTATTCCTTATACAAAAATCAATCCCAGGTATATTGAATCTGAATACTGAAAAGCTATATTTTAAGAAACTTGAAGAAAACAATAATAAAACAACTCTCTGATTTTAATAGAGGAAAGAAATTGTTAGGTAACAATGTAGAAATCAAATTTTCTACAAAGAAACTTAAAATTTCTGTATCAGAAAAACAAAATTAAATAGAGGGCAAAGAATGGAAGATGATATTTATGGCACATATAATGAAGAAGTTGCATCCACTATACAAAAGAACAAAAAAAAAAGGAACTACTTATGATGTTAATGAAAGCTGGAGTTACAAATAGTTGTGAGCCACCCAATGTGGGTGCTGATGACCAAACACTTTGGGCCTCCACATGAGCAGTAAGCGGTTTTACTGGCTATTTCTCTGGGCCCCTGGTGTTAACCTTTACTGTCAATTAATGGGATTTAGAATTACGATAAAAATCATCTCTGGCCATGCCTACAAAGGACTGTCTAGACTGGGTTAACTGATGTGAGAAGACCCATCCTTAATGTGGGCAGCACCATTCCTAGACTGGGGTTCTGGATTGAGTAAAAGGAGAATGGGAGCAGTCTTCTGTTTCCTAAACGCAGATAGGACCAGCTGCCTCAAGCTCCTATCACTATGACTGTGCTGCCGTGACCAAACAAACCCTTCCTTCCTTAAGTTGCTTTGCTTAAGTATTCTATCACACCAACAAGTAACTAATACATTATTCTTCAGAAAAATGGGAAATTTATCCATATGAATGAAATAGAGGTATTAACATTGCTCACCAACAATCAGAAGAATGCAAATGAGATTTTTTTCATACCCATCAGACTGGCAAAGTTCTTGTTTAATTAAGCATTTAGTGTGTGTGTGTATGTGTCTCTGTGTGTGTGTGTGTGTGTGTGTGTGTG